CTGCCTCCCTGTCTCACTGCTCCCTGTCTGTCTGCCTTTCTGCCTGCCTGCTGTCTGCCTGCCTGCCTCCCTGTCTGTCTGTCTGCCTGCCTTTCTGTCTGTCTGTCTGTCTGCCTGCCTGCCTGCCTCCCTGTCTGTCTTGTCTTCCTGCCTCCCTGTCTCACTGCCTCCCTGTCTGTCTGCCTTTCTGCCTTTCTGACTGCCTGCCTGCCTCCCTGTCTGTCTGTCTTGTCTCCCTGTCTCTCTGTCTTGTCTCCCTGCCTCCCTGTCTGTCTGTCTCACTGCCTGTCTGTCTCTCTCTCAGGAGTCCACGTATGGTACTCATATCCACGAGAAGCGAGAGGAGAGGGAGGCTCGTTTCTGTAACACGGTGCACGACATCGTGAACAGGGAGGGTCGCTGTCTGATCCCCGTGTTTGCTCTGGGACGAGCCCAGGAGCTACTGCTGATCCTCGGTGAGAGTCTACAGTATAGTATGTTAGCATCATGTTAGCATCATGTTAGCATGTAGCTGATCCTCGGTGAGAGTCTACAGTATAGTATGTTAGCATCATGTTAGCATCATGTTAGCATGTAGCTGATCCTCGGTGAGAATCAACATTATAGCATGTTAGCATCATGTTAGCATCATGTTAGCATGTAGGTGATCCTCGGTGAGAATCTAAATTATAGCATGTTAGCATCATGTTAGCATGTAGCAGATCCTCAGTAAGAATCTACAGTATAGCATGTTAGCATCATGTTAGCATCATGTTAGCATGTAGCTGATCCTCGGTGAGAGTCAACATTATAGATTATGTATATGTCTCTGTGTGTGTTGTGTGTGTTGTGTGTGTGTGTGTGTGTGTGTGTGTGTGTGTGTGTGTGTGTGTGTCTCTGTGTGTGTGTGTGTGTTAGATGAGTACTGGCAGAACCATCCGGAGCTCCACGACATTCCGATCTACTACGCCTCGTCTCTGGCGAGGAAGTGCATGGCCGTGTACCAGACGTACATCAACGCCATGAACGATAAGATCCGTAAAGCCATCAACATCAACAACCCGTTCGTCTTCAAGCACATCAGCAACCTGAAGGTCAGTGAGCGCGCTCAGCGCGCGTCCTCATGGTCGGTGAGCGCGCAGTCTGCACGGAGGATTGGGGAAAAAATGAGGTCGTGTAACCGTTTACCCCCCCCCCCTCCCCCGGTGATCAGTGTGCGTCCTCATGTCAGACGGCGTTACCTCTTGTGCTTTGTTTCAGAGCATGGATCACTTTGACGACATCGGGCCGAGCGTGGTGATGGCGTCCCCGGGGATGATGCAGAGCGGTCTGTCCAGAGAGCTGTTTGAGAGCTGGTGCACGGACAAGAGGAACGGGGTCATCATCGCCGGTTACTGTGTGGAGGGAACGCTCGCCAAGGTCAGTCTCCTCATATACCGTGTTCAAGACCCGCCCCCCTTGCTCTATCACGACCTCCCCCTCCCCCCCCTCACATTGTTCACACACTACATCTTCAGGACGGAGTCCTCGTGTAGCGGGAGGTTTCGGAGACTTAAAGCGTTTTCCTCTGTGGCGTCCTCTGACTTCACGACTTTGTGTTTCAGCACATCATGACGGAGCCGGACGAGATCGCTACCATGTCGGGTCAGAAGCTTCCTCTGAAGATGTCCGTGGACTACATCTCCTTCTCGGCTCACACGGACTACCAGCAGACCAGCGAGTTCATCCGGGCGCTCAAACCGCCACACGTGGTAATCACGCACACACACACGTGTTACCAAACAGGTTACCATGGAGACGGAGCTTCATCATCACATGTTCTTGTACGGAGGCTAAAGTCCTCGTTGCGCTGGCCATGGGTTCAAATCCGACCGCTGCCCTTTTCTGAAAGTCATGGAAGCTAACGAGTGGCGTGTTTGTTTGTCTGCAGATTCTGGTCCATGGCGAGCAGAACGAGATGGCCCGTCTGAAAGCGGCTCTTATTCGCGAGTACGAAGATAACGACGAGGTCGACATCGAGGTCCATAACCCTCGAAACACGGAGGCCGTTACGCTGAACTTCAGAGGAGAGAAACTGGCGAAGGTCTGAATCCAGGAAATCTCAAACTTTCAAAGCTTTTAACGTGCGTGCTGCTATCTTAACTCCCAGCATGCTCTGCTTCAGGTGATGGGCTCTCTGACTGACAGGAAGTGTGTTCAGGGTCAGAGGGTCTCCGGGATCCTCATCAAGAGGAACTTCAACTATCACATTGTGACGCCCTCCGACCTCTCAAGTCAGTGTGTTACTGTGTGTGTGTGTGTGTGTGTGTGTGTGTGTGTGAGAACTGAGTTATAAAACTGACACAATGAGGACCGTCCTGTTTGGTTATTTGAGGACCATCCTGTTTGGTTATTTGAGCACCGTCCTGTTTGGTTATTTGAGGACCGTCCTGTTTGGTTATTTGAGCACCGTCCTGTTTGGTTATTTGAGGACCGTCCTGTTATTTGAGCACCGTCCTGTTTGGTTATTTGAGGACCGTCCTGTTTGGTTATTTGAGGACCGTCCTGTTATTTGAGCACCGTCCTGTTTGGTTATTTGAGCACCGTCCTGTTTGGTTATTTGAGCACCGTCCTGTTTGGTTATTTGAGCACCGTCCTGTTTGGTTATTTGAGGACCGTCCTGTTTGGTTATTTGAGGACCGTCCTGTTATTTCAGGACCGTCCTGTTTGGTTATTTGAGGACCGTCCTGTTTGGTTATTTGAGCACCGTCCTGTTTGGTTATTTGAGGACCGTCCTGTTATTTCAGGACCGTCCTGTTTGGTTATTTGAGGACCGTCCTGTTTGGTTATTTGAGCACCGTCCTGTTTGGTTATTTGAGGACCGTCCTGTTTGGTTATTTGAGCACCGTCCTGTTTGGTTATTTGAGCACCGTCCTGTTTGGTTATTTGAGGACCGTCCTGTTTGGTTATTTGAGCACCGTCCTGTTTGGTTATTTGAGGACCGTCCTGTTTGGTTATTTGAGGACCGTCCTGTTATTTGAGCACCGTCCTGTTTGGTTATTTGAGGACCGTCCTGTTTGGTTATTTGAGCACCGTCCTGTTTGGTTATTTGAGGACCGTCCTGTTTGGTTATTTGAGGACCGTCCTGTTTGGTTATTTGAGGACCGTCCTGTTATTTGAGCACCGTCCTGTTTGGTTATTTGAGGACCGTCCTGTTTGGTTATTTGAGGACCGTCCTGTTATTTGAGCACCGTCCTGTTTGGTTATTTGAGCACCGTCCTGTTTGGTTATTTGAGGACCGTCCTGTTTGGTTATTTGAGCACCGTCCTGTTTGGTTATTTGAGGACCGTCCTGTTTGGTTATTTGAGGACCGTCCTGTTTGGTTATTTGAGGACCGTCCTGTTATTTGAGCACTGTCCTGTTTGGTTATTTGAGGACCGTCCTGTTTGGTTATTTGAGGACCGTCCTGTTTGGTTATTTGAGGACCGTCCTGTTATTTGAGCACCGTCCTGTTTGGTTATTTGAGGACCGTCCTGTTATTTCAGGACCGTCCTGTTTGGTTATTTGAGGACCGTCCTGTTATTTGAGCACCGTCCTGTTTGGTTATTTGAGGACCGTCCTGTTATTTGAGGACCGTCCTGTTTGGTTATTTGAGGACCGTCCTGTTATTTAAGGACCGTCCTTTTTGGTTATTTGAGGACCGTCCTGTTATTTGAGCACCGTCCTGTTTGGTTATTTGAGGACCGTCCTGTTTGGTTATTTGAGGACCGTCCTGTTATTTGAGCACCGTCCTGTTTGGTTATTTGAGCACCGTCCTGTTTGGTTATTTGAGCACCGTCCTGTTTGGTTATTTGAGGACCGTCCTGTTTGGTTATTTGAGGACCGTCCTGTTATTTCAGGACCGTCCTGTTTGGTTATTTGAGCACCGTCCTGTTTGGTTATTTGAGGACCGTCCTGTTTGGTTATTTGAGGACCGTCCTGTTATTTGAGCACCGTCCTGTTTGGTTATTTGAGCACCGTCCTGTTTGGTTATTTGAGGACCGTCCTGTTTGGTTATTTGAGGACCGTCCTGTTATTTGAGCACTGTCCTGTTTGGTTATTTGAGGACCGTCCTGTTTGGTTATTTGAGGACCGTCCTGTTTGGTTATTTGAGGACCGTCCTGTTATTTGAGCACCGTCCTGTTATTTGAGCACTGTCCTGTTTGGTTATTTGAGCACCGTCCTGTTTGGTTATTTGAGGACCGTCCTGTTTGGTTATTTGAGGACCGTCCTGTTATTTCAGGACCGTCCTGTTTGGTTATTTGAGGACCGTCCTGTTATTTGAGCACCGTCCTGTTTGGTTATTTGAGGACCGTCCTGTTTGGTTATTTGAGGACCGTCCTGTTATTTAAGGACCGTCCTTTTTGGTTATTTGAGGACCGTCCTGTTTTTTGAGCACCGTCCTGTTTGGTTATTTGAGGACCGTCCTGTTATTTGAGGACCGTCCTGTTTGGTTATTTGAGGACCGTCCTGTTATTTGAGGACCGTCCTGTTTGGTTATTTGAGGACCGTCCTGTTATTTGAGCACCGTCCTGTTTGGTTATTTGAGGACCGTCCTGTTATTTGAGGACCGTCCTGTTATTTGAGGACCGTCCTGTTTGGTTATTTGAGGACCGTCCTGTTTGGTTATTTGAGGATCGTCCTGTTATTTGAGGACCGTCCTGTTTGGTTATTTGAGGATCGTCCTGTTATTTGAGGACCGTCCTGTTTGGTTATTTGAGCACCGTCCTGTTTGGTTATTTGAGGACCGTCCTGTTATTTCAGGACCGTCCTGTTTGGTTATTTGAGCACCGTCCTGTTTGGTTATTTGAGGACCGTCCTGTTTGGTTATTTGAGGACCGTCCTGTTATTTGAGCACCGTCCTGTTTGGTTATTTGAGCACCGTCCTGTTTGGTTATTTGAGCACCGTCCTGTTTGGTTATTTGAGGACCGTCCTGTTTGGTTATTTGAGGACCGTCCTGTTATTTCAGGACCGTCCTGTTTGGTTATTTGAGCACCGTCCTGTTTGGTTATTTGAGGACCGTCCTGTTTGGTTATTTGAGGACCGTCCTGTTATTTGAGCACCGTCCTGTTTGGTTATTTGAGCACCGTCCTGTTTGGTTATTTGAGGACCGTCCTGTTTGGTTATTTGAGGACCGTCCTGTTATTTGAGCACTGTCCTGTTTGGTTATTTGAGGACCGTCCTGTTTGGTTATTTGAGGACCGTCCTGTTTGGTTATTTGAGGACCGTCCTGTTATTTGAGCACCGTCCTGTTATTTGAGCACTGTCCTGTTTGGTTATTTGAGCACCGTCCTGTTTGGTTATTTGAGGACCGTCCTGTTTGGTTATTTGAGGACCGTCCTGTTATTTCAGGACCGTCCTGTTTGGTTATTTGAGGACCGTCCTGTTATTTGAGCACCGTCCTGTTTGGTTATTTGAGGACCGTCCTGTTTGGTTATTTGAGGACCGTCCTGTTATTTAAGGACCGTCCTTTTTGGTTATTTGAGGACCGTCCTGTTTTTTGAGCACCGTCCTGTTTGGTTATTTGAGGACCGTCCTGTTATTTGAGGACCGTCCTGTTTGGTTATTTGAGGACCGTCCTGTTATTTGAGGACCGTCCTGTTTGGTTATTTGAGGACCGTCCTGTTATTTGAGCACCGTCCTGTTTGGTTATTTGAGGACCGTCCTGTTATTTGAGGACCGTCCTGTTATTTGAGGACCGTCCTGTTTGGTTATTTGAGGACCGTCCTGTTTGGTTATTTGAGGATCGTCCTGTTATTTGAGGACCGTCCTGTTTGGTTATTTGAGGATCGTCCTGTTTGGTTATTTGAGGACCGTCCTGTTATTTGAGCACTGTCCTGTTTGGTTATTTGAGGACCGTCCTGTTTGGTTATTTGAGGACCGTCCTGTTTGGTTATTTGAGCACCGTCCTGTTTGGTTATTTGAGGACCGTCCTGTTATTTGAGCACTGTCCTGTTTGGTTATTTGAGGACCGTCCTGTGAATAGCGCCTTTCAGGTAGACTTTTGAGGTCATTAGCAGTAGTTAGCTAACATTAATGATGGCGTGCTAACCTAGCTGCTGTCTGCGTTCTGACAAAACTGAGACTGAAATAAAACTTTTTCATACGTTTGATAAACGTCAATAGGGAACAGCGTTTAACGGTCAAACATGGGCTGAATACTCGCTAACGGTCCTTTTACATGAAGTGAAATGTTTAACCAGCGTTAGCTCAGGGGGCGTGGTTAACCTTCTTATCGGTGTCAGCTGGATCATCGCTGAAAAAGAGCGGGAACCTTGAGGGTAGGAATGTTTTGGAGGTGTCCTCGTGTTGTATTTAGGTGCTGTTGTTTTTCCCGTGTTTGATGGCGTCCTGTCTTTGCTCAGACTACACAGATCTGTCTATGGGCACCGTGACGCAGACTCAGGCCATCCCGTACACCGGGCCCATCTCGCTGCTGGTCAGTCAGCTCCGCAGCCTCGCAGGTCGGTCACCGTTAGCGTTCTTAATTTATTTAATGTTCGTGAGAAGTCTCTGTTTTGACCTGATGGACGTGTGTTTGTAGGAGACGTGGAGCAGGTGGAGGGGACGGAGAAAATCACCATCCGGATCTTTAAGAGCATCACTCTGGTTCACGAGGCGGGCATGGTGCTGCTGGAGGTCAGGTTACCCTAACCCTGAACGCTGTTTCATCGCGCTCCGTCCCGTTGACATTCTTCAAACTCGTTTGTAATTTTCAACTTCAAAGTGAAACTTTTTTCTGTTTTTCATTTTGAATCTTTTTTTGTCTTCAGTGGATCGCCAACCCGCTCAACGACATGTACGCTGATGTGGTCACTACGGTGGTCCTGGAGGTCCAATCCAACCCCAACGCTCAGAAATGTAAGAAAACAGAAGAAGGTGTAAATGTCAAAGTGACGGGAACAGAGCTCTCATGTTTTTAACTCTTTAACGTTTTCAGTCCTCGAAGGAAAGAGAGACACCTTCGACGTGGACGTGTTCGTAGAGAGACTCGGACTCATGCTGCAGTAAGTTCACCTGCGGGGAGGGGGCGGGGTTTATCAACACTAACCAAAAGAGAGTTTGTCTTTGTTCACACATTTAAATAAAGTTTAATGCAAAAAGTCCTTTTTAAAGGAATAAATATTTATCGAGGTTGAAACCTTTATATTTTATTACAGCACGTATTAGAGAAGTGATGCATGATGGGAGGAAACAGACGGTTTTGCTTTCTGTTTCAGCGACATGTTCGGAGACGACTGCGTCAACTTCAAAGACGGTCAAAACCTGAGCGTGACGGTGGACGGAGTCACCGTCCTCATTGACACCGAAACCAAAGTGAGTACAAAATAGTGACAGAGTGAGACCTCCTGTCTTCACCCAGTATGAAATAGTGACAGAGTGAGACCTCCTGTCTGTACCCGTCTTGGTACGGTGGCCTTTAAGGACATTTGTCTATTGGATGTTGAAATGTTTACGTAGGCTGAAATAAAGGTTTTTGATTCTGTGTCTCGCCCTGCAGGCCGTGTCGTGTGCAGAAGATGAGTCCTTGAGAGAGATGGTCGAGGTCGCTGTCCACCGTCTCTATGACGCCCTCAGCCCCACCTGTGATGTCACCAGCAGGGGGCGCCCGCCTCCTGTCAGTGATGTCATCAGCGTCCCCAGTCAGCTGCTGAGTGACAGTTTGATATGAAACTTTCTTCTGTTTGTGTTTTTTTAAACACTTTGTTTCAAACTGATTCCAAAGGAATCTCTGAGGAGGCGGAGCGCCGACCTGAGCGCCGACCTGAGCGCCGACCTGCACCTGATTTTGTGTTTCTGTAACGTGTCTGTGAAACAATAATAAACATTCAGTGACTCTGTTTCTTTAAACATCTCATCCATTATTGTTTACGTTTTCTGTGAGAAGACAACAAGAAGAGTAGTAGTCTAGACTCCGCCCCCTGATGTTTAGACTCTACACATCAGATGAAATCGGTGGTTAGCTGAACCAGCGGAGCAGGAAGGGTACTCGTCTGGACTCGAGAACATCAAAGTGTTTAAATTATGCAGAAAGAGGATTCTGATCGTCAGGTTTTAGCTAACGACACAGAGACTCGTGGAACGCCATCGAGTCGAGTGTGACCACCTTTAGAAGGACGAGGAACAGAACGCCATCAAAGATCAACAACTTTATTATCAACAAAAAATACAAACAGCTCACTGATTGGCTGGTCAACATGATGACATAACACAGAACAGATCAATATGGACACACAGTCGTATAAAAATATATTTATATTCTGATAAATGTTTATAAAGAAACCCTGACTTCCTGTTTCCTCCTGACTTCCTGGGTGTGTGTTTGAATTGTCCCTCCTGTCTCCTTCACTATCCACTTCACCTTAACCCGGGGAAAAGGTCATGAGGTCAAGGAAAGATGTTAGGAGAAGTCATAAAGGACTTAAGGAAAGGAGATCTCGTTGCTCTGACCACATTTCCACTAGGCCACGTCATTAAATGTGACGGGCCGGCGGAGGTTAATGACGTGGGTCTGCTGTGTTGAAACTACAATGTTCAGAAAATGGACTACAAAAAGATCATCTACAAAACTTTCCCCTGTGCTTCTTACCGGTGAAATAATCCTGAAATAAAAGAAATATAGACGACCAGGCTACAAGTAAGAAAAGTGAAACCATCAGCTTCCTGTCCAATCAGAAATCAACATCAACATAAAGATGAAATTAATTATTACATTTATGAAAGATAAGAATGTACAACTGAAGAAATGCACCAAACATTCTGAACTGAATGAAACATCATCTGTGTTAATGTTCCTGAACGGTCAGATGAGCGAGTCGCTTTAAATGTTGCGGCCGCAAGGAATTGTGGGAGGTCATATCTCATCTCCTTTCCTAAAGGATGGTCCAGTGTATCCTAAAGGAGGTTATAAAGGAAGCATTGACCCACCTTTCCTTAACGGCTCTTATCATTAACTTTCCTAACGCACCCACAGTTTCTGAGGTTCCTGCAGAGCCCTGACTTCCTGTTTCCTCCTGACTTCCTGTGGAGCGGCAGTGATTGCGTCCCCCTGAAGTGTTTTAACCTGGAACTAAAAATGACTGAACTTTTCTAACGCACGTCACCAGAGCAGCATGGCGGCCATTTTTAATCATTAAAACAAAGAGACGTATAACGCCCCTCTGCGTGGTCAGACAAAGACTGGCGGTTTGTTCTGGCTTCCTGTTGGCGACTCGAGGAGGCGGAGTCTTGATCTCTTGTTCTTTTGTTTCTCTCGTTTGGCGTTAAACGTGGCGCCACCCTTGAGTTTTATAGAAACACGGCGCCTTAGTGGAGGAACATGAAACACCTAACGGCGCCCCCGCCTGGTGGCTGCCTGCACGTTCACTCAGGTGTCTCAGCACTGCGTCTCCTTGCTGTCGATCTGATGTTGTCTCTTCAGTCTGAACATCAACGCCTTCTCGCTGCAGCTCGCCACGCCTTTCTCCGTCAGATCCTCAAAGGAGCGCTGTGGCGCCCTCGCCGGCCTCCCAAACGCCTCCTCCAGAGCCTCCTGGTCCAGGTGAGAGTCCAAGCTGGGGTCCTCCTGGATGGTGGCCATGCGGGGGTCCAGAGGGGGGTGGCCTGGGAAGGGGGCGGAGCCTGGAGGGGTGCTGGTCTGCTGGGGGTCACATGGCTGGAAACGAAGCCCGGCGGAGGAGGCGGAGCTTGGGAAGGTTGGAGGTTTGAAGATCCGAACAGACGCAGACTCCAGGCTGCTCAGGAGCTCGGCATTCTGGGAAAGTGAAGAGTCACAACATTAAAGGAACAGGCCAAACACGTGAAGAAGAAAAATCTCTTCTGGAGTCTGAGATCTGACCCCTGACCCCTGACCCCTCCCCCCCCCCGGGTTGTGACTCACGCTGGGGAACAACAGAGACTTGGTGTTCTGGTCGTATTGATGATCCAGCTTCTGGTCCTGAAGAGAAAACAGAGACGCGTCACATTATGTGTTTACGTTGTTATACACAAGCTGTGATTGGCTGACATTTTGTTGTTTATATTAATATAATCTGATAACTGGAAACACTCCAGACCACTGACCACGACACTTCAGGCTCAGCTGGGATATTAGAGCGCTGACAGACGTTATTTAACCATCATTAATGTGAAAACATTAAAGAATGAGCGATGTGTTCAGGCTCAGCTGGGATATCAGAAACATGATCGTACCACACAGTGGACCAGGATGCTGAAGGGGATCCAGAAGAGCAGAGAGAACGCCACCACTGAACCCACGATGTTGTCAGCCAGAAACTTCCCAAACGTGTTGATGTCGAGTTTATCGATGAAGTCCCAGAGACGCTCGATTACGTCCTGCACCTGCTTCATGCACTTCCCCTGCAGAGAGGCACACACCTGTCAGGTAGAGCTTTACACTGCAGGGGAGGGGGGGGGGGTGGGGGGGGGGGGGGGGAACTCACCGCTCCGTCACAAAAGCCCACCGTGCACGGTTTGCCTTTACGCAGGAACAGGAAGTTACCCATTTGGTCCTGGTAGGGGGTGCAGGCGCCGCTGCTGCTCCGACAGCAGACTTTACACGACGAGTTGGTTTCTGCAGAGAAGAAGAAGAAACACGATTCAGAGTTCAATAAATCGTGTTCAGTTTCTGATCTCAGAGTCACGCTCCATGTTCGCCTTGCGTCTGACGACTTAAAGGTAAACTGTCGTACCGTTGCAGGCGCAGGGCGGCAGCTTTAAGACGGCCTGACAGAACGGGACGCACTCTCCGTTCAGACACTCCCCGCTGTCCAGACACACGGTTTGATCTGCAGCGTTCTCTGGAGGAGGACACTCGCTGCTGTTTCCTGTGGACACAAACGGGTCAGTCTGAGCACGCTCACCGCCACACGGTCACTCCACGGTCACTCCCTCGTCTTTCCCGTGTGCTCACCTGTGCAGTACGAGTGTCCTTTACAGGTGGCGTCGATGGGCTCCTGGCAGACTTCACCTTCAGACTCAAACATACAGTTCTTACAGCACGCACTGTTCCTGTCGCTAAACACGAGAGACGGAAAAGAGACGGTCAGTAAGAAGGACAAAAAACGTCCCTAACTAACCCCTAACATTTTAACATAGAGCTCTATGGAGACTGACTCGCTGCAGGAGACAGACTCTAGTGGACACTGGAGGAACTGCAGCTGTAAAGTTAAACATTTTAACATAGAGCTCTATGGAGACTGACTCGCTGCAGGAGACAGACTCTAGTGGACACTGGAGGAACTGCAGCTGTAAAGTTAGACATTTTAACATAGAGCTCTATGAGGACTGACTCACTGCAGGAGACAGACTCTAGTGGACACTGGAGGAACTGCAGCTGTAAAGTTAGACATTTTAACATAGAGCTCTATGGGGACTGACTCACTGCAGGAGACAGACTCTAGTGGACACTGGAGGAACTGCAGCTGTAAAGTTAGACATTTTAACATAGAGCTCTATGGAGACTGACTCGCTGCAGGAGACAGACTCTAGTGGACACTGGAGGAACTGCAGCTGTAAAGTTAAACATTTTAACATAGAGCTCTATGGGGACTGACTCACTGCAGGAGACAGACTCTAGTGGACACTGGAGGAACTGCAGTCTCACCTGCACTGAGCTCCGGCTCTCAGCCTGCAGTCGGTGGTGCAGCAGTGGTCTGAGTTGATGTGCAGCAGCCCTGGGTCACACTCCTCGCCCTGCTCCACCCGGGAGTTCCCGCACACGTTGATGTTCCTCTGCTTGAAGCAGGTCGGAGACTTGAACCTCAGACGCTTCACGATGGAGCGTTTGCTGCAGTCTGAGAACAACTGGACAAAGAGACGTCACTCAGCTTTAAACCGACCAATAGAAACCTGTGAGAGAAAAGATCCCGCACTTTGTTGTTGACGTGGTCTCCGCTCACAGCGATGGGGTACATGACGTATTTCCCGCCTGGTCCTCCCGTGGGGCGCAGTACGGGATGTTGTCGGGGTCGTGTTCCGCTCCGAAGTTATGACCCAGCTCGTGCGTGGTCACCAGGTCGGCTTCCTGTGGACAACAGGTTAGAGCAGCGAGGAACAGCTGACGACCTTCAGACCTAACCTAACCCCCCAACACACCTTAGTGAGAATGGTCTTCCCGTAGTTCTTGGTGCTGGTCAGGCCCGTGTTCAGGTAGATCGCTCGCTGTTCGTTTGTGGATGACGGACAGGCTTCAAAAGAGAACACGTCACGTTACGTACACTGGAGGAAATATTATTTGATCCCCTGCTGATTTTGTAAGTTTGACCGATTATCAAGAAGTGAGCGGTCTATAATCTTTATGTTACTTTTATTTTAATAAAGAGATAAAATATAAAAAAAGAAGTCCAGAAAAAAAACATTGTCTAAAGTTATAAGTTAATTTGCATTTGATTGAAGGAAATAAGTATTTGATCCCCTACAAACCAACACAAATTCTGGCTCCCACAGACCAGTAAAGTGCCCGGGAGGCACTCAGATTAGTCCTGTCACTTTAAGAAAGTTCTCCCAATCACTGCTCGTTATGGGTATAAAAGACACATGTCAACAGAATCAATCTCTTCCTTCCCAACCACTCCAACACCATGGGCAAGACCAAAGAACATTTAAAGGACATCAGGGACAAGATTGTAGACCTGCACAAGGCTGGAATGGGCTACAAGACCATCAGCAAGAAGCTTGGTGAGAAGGAGAAACTGTTGGTGGAAGAAAATGGAAGACATTTAAAATAACCATCAATCGCCCTCTGTCTGGAGCTCCATGCAAGATCTCGCCTCATGGGGTAAGGATGATCATGAGAAGGGTGAGGGATCAGCCCAGAACTACACAGGAGAAGCTTTGTAATGATCTCAAGGCAGCTAATGGATTGCCATAATGGATTTAAATCCTGCAGTGCCCGTAAGGGCCCCATGCTCAGGAAGGCTCATGTACTGGCCCGTCGAAGTCAATGAACAACGTGAGTCAGAGAAGGCTTGGGAAAAGGTGATGTGGTCAGATGAGACCAAAATGTAACTATTTGGCATAAACTCGAGTTGTTGTGTTTGGAGGGAGAGAAATGCTGAATACCAACCCAAGAACACCGTCAAGCATGGAGGAGGAAACATTATGGGATGTTTCTCTGCTAAGGGTACAGGACGACTTCACCACATTGAGGGGCCAATGGATGGGGACATGTAACGTCAGATCTTGTACGAGAACCTCCTTTCCTCAGCCAGAGCACTGAGGATGACAACGACCCGAAACATACGGCCAAGGCAACAAAGCAGTGGCTCAAGAAGAAGAACATTCAGGTCATGGAGTGGCCTAGCGAGTCTCCAGACCTTCCTATAAAACATTTGTGGAGAGCGACTCACCTTTAGACTGAGAGGCAAGACGACTCACCTTAGACTCAGAGCAGAGCGACTCACCTTTAGACTCAGAAGAGGCAGAGACTCACCTTTAGACTCGAGGAAGAGGCAGAGCGACTCACCTTTTAGACTCGAGAAGGCAGAGCGACTCACCTTTAGACTCGAGGAAAGGCAGAGCGACTCACCTTTAGACTCGAGGAAAGGCAGAGGCCACCTTTAGACTCGAGGAAGGCAGAGCGACTCACCTTTAGACTCGAGGAAGGCAGAGCGACTTCACCTTTAGACCAGGAAGCGGCAGAGCGACTCACCTTAGACTCGAGAAGCAGAGCGACTCACTTTAGACTCGAGGAAGCGGCAGAGCGACTCACCTTTAGACTCGAGGAAACGCCAGAGCGACTCACCTTTAGACTCGAGGGAACGGCAGAGCGACTCACCTTTAGACTCGAGGAAGCGGCAGAGCGACTCACCTTTAGACTCGAGGAA